ACATTAACTCCTTGACTTGCAAAGTCTTGCTCCCTGAACAAAAACATTCCAAAGGCAACAAGATTTAAACACACACACACACACACAGACAGAAGATTTGATTGATTTTTTTTTTAAGCACGCAGCAGTGGGAACAGGAAACACGTGGGGCTGTCCTTTAGAGGTCACCTGGCTACTTACAGAGGGCACTGTGGCAGCAATGGGGATCATCACCACCGACACCAGGCGGAACAAGTTGGTAACGAGGTTCTGGAAGCGGGAAACCGGCATTTTTCTTTGGGAGGCAAAGATCTGAAGGAGGAGAAACTCACAGTTACCAAGCAGCTCTCTCTGAAACGGCCGTACTGAGGGTTAATCTCATTAGAGAAGCGTTGTAAAAGAAACTGTAGTCGAGGCTAAACACTACTGCAGCTCAGGGAGGTCTGACACACGTCACATCCGACCTGGATGTCTCAAACAGAGACACCTACACATGAAAATACCCGGAGCAAACAGGCGATGTTTCACTTCTGCCCAGTGCATTTAGAGCAGTGATCATCTGCAGCCACCTTTGTGTGCTAAAGTCTGCATTACACCCTAGTGCAGTCACCTGCAGCCACTGCTGCTGCTTTATTCCACCAACCTACCTCCACCACCAGCAAATTCACCAGCCCCAGGGCTACTGGCAAAATCCACGTGGAGTCAGCTGCCGTCAGGTCTCTAAACCACAGCGCTCCTCCTGAGGAAAACTGCTCTTGTACTACAGGGAAAATTTGAAGGAAACACAGAATTCAGTGTTACTTCGCTGCACCATGTCTTAGATCACAAGTTTCTAGGTATGTGGTAGAAGCTGAGACCCAGCTTAGGTCATGACAGCCAGGGGCTGTGATCAATCTGTGGTAAAAAATAGCTCGATCCCAAATATTTGACAAGTCAATGAGGAAAATAACACAGTGCTTATTTCCTGATTTTTAAAAAAAATTACGTTTTTCTTAGGAACTGTGTAAATAGACACATTTTTTGCCTAAAAGAAGAAATTAATAACTCTTGTCTAAAAAAATCAGTATATAATTTTTATATAGTTTAAAATTTTATATACTATATATAGTATAAAATTTTATATAATGTATAATTTATATGATATAATTTTATATAGTTTAAAATTTTATATGCTATATATAGTAAATTTTAAAAATAAATTTTCATATAAATATATATTTATATAAAATATTGATATATATAAATTTTATATAATAAATAATTTTATAATCCATAATTTTAATAGAATGTATATTTATATATATACATTTTATAATGTATATTTTATACATAATTTTATATAATCTATGATTTATATAACAATTTTATATAGCATATAGTTTTACATACTATAAATAGTATAAAATTCTTACATAATGTGTAATTTCTATAATGCATAAATACATAATGTGTAATTTCTATAATGCATAAATTTTAATAGAATATATATTTTTGCATATACATTTTATACTGTATTTTATATATAATTTTTATAAAATGTATAATTTATATAATATATAATTTTATATAGTATATATTTTTATATACTATATATAGTATAAAATTTTATACAACGTATAATTTTTATAATGCATAAATTTTAATAGAATGTATATTTTATATATACATTTTATAATGTATATCTTATATATAATTTTTATATAATGTATCATTTTCTATAATGTGTAATTTTTATAAATATATATAAATATACATATAAAAAATATATATATAAATATATATATAAACATATAAAAATATATATATTTGTTTTTATATATTTTCAATATATTTTTTAATGTATATATTTTATAGTATCATTTAAAAGATGCTCACAAATTCACCTTGTCCACAGCATTCCACGTGGAAGGAAAAAAAAAATAGAGATTAACAGTGAGTGTGCCGTGGCACGTGTATTACTTGCTAAACAGGATTATCAGGCTACATTAAGCTTATAACTAATACAAAAATCTATTTATTACCTATCATTTATATTAATTAATTAGATTAAACTTGAACTACACTCAGTTCGAAACCTGAGCAGCTGATGGGTTTTGTATCAGCCTGCAGCCCAAGCTCAGGAAAGCCCTTGAAGGAAGGAGGTGCCCCGTGAGAGCAGCGAGCCATGTGAGAATTGCCAGCGAGAATTACCTGCTGGGCCCAGGGCGCCGACGCTGCAGTTGCGCAGAGCCAGGGACACGCACACCCACATGGGGACCTGCACCCACAGCAGCACGGTGCCTTTGAAGGGGTGGCAGTTGTCCCGGATGTACAGCTCCGTGAGGATCCGCCGCATGTTCTTCCTGAAGTGGAACCTTCCGGAGAGAAAAGCAAAAGCTCAGCTCTGAAAGGGAACAGAATAAATCCATCGGTCACAGGCGGGGAAAGAAAACCTAAGCTTTGGGCCAAGGCAGCACCTTGGGTTTTTTTGTGTTTGTGGGATCCTCCCCCTTGGCAAGGATTCAGGAGGTGAGTACAACGCCCCTCTCGTACCTGGCCACCTTTTCAGACCATCCCAGCTGCTTTCCACGCACGGACACTTCATAGCGAAGGCGCTTGGCAAGTTCCTCCACCTCAGGCTGCAGGTTTTCCAGCTAGCTAAAGAAAAGGAGAGCTGTTTGGGCACAGTGGTAGGTAACAATTGCTTCCTCTCCTCACCTCTATTATCAGTTATCCCTGGTAATTCAACACCTGAACACGTGTTAAACTTACTAATTATCACTGTGACATTTAATATCTGTACAGGAATTGGACATGCACATTGCCACCATATAATTTAGTATTATACCATATAAATTAATATTGCACATATTAATTACCCTTCTGTGATTTAATACCGGCACAGGTATCAAACATATTAATTATCACTGCAATTTAACACCTGTACAGGTAGTAAATGCCTGTGAGGGATAAGGCATCTTGTTAAGGTTTTATTCAACACCAGTGAACTCCCTTCATCTTTAAATAAAATAACTCTGTGAAAGTAACAGTGACAACAAGTAATTACAGTAACAACCAAAGTTCCCTCTTACTATTGCCTGAAATGAAGAGAGAATTTGACTCTTTTTAGGTTTTATACTTTTTCAAGAAAAAAATTACTTCTACCACAGCTGAAATCAGGACAATTCTTAACAAGTATCTTTTTTGCCTCTATTCAGGACCAGTAATCAGCTACTTTGGCTTAAGAAGACACAACTTTAGTGCCACCTCAACGATAAAAATAAACAAACGACAATAATAAAAACTAATAATAACATACAAATATAAACCTGTAAAAATAGGAAAAATACATAATTGCTAAGAATATATTATTTACGATACACTGTATGTAAGGTGTAAATGCATTGTGCTATACACGATAGAAATATATAAATAGTATATATATAATATATATATATATACAGATATACATATATATAGATAAAAAGAGTAATAAAGTAACACTTTATATATTTATAAAATTCATGTATGTCCATGAGGACACAACTTGGCAGTGAAAAAAGTCAGCACCCACAGAGACCCCACCACTACGCGAGAGCGCACTGAACGCTCGCTTTTGCAACCGAAAAAAAGCACAAAATTTAACGAAATTCCTTTAAAAAAACCAACCCGAACCCGCTGCGATAGCAGAACCGTGACGTTTATTCAGAGGTTAACTGAGGGGGCCGTCTATTTAGCCCTTCACCGGTGCCTCTCCCTCAGAGCCTCTCCCGCCCCTCAGAGCCCCCTCAGCGCTCCCACCTTAGCCAGCAGCCGCCCCTGGTGCGCGGCCAGCGGCAGGGTCACGGCGCTGCGCAGCACGGCGGC